GCAAAACAGCGAGTCTCTCGTAACGATGACACAAGATGGCAACTGCTGTGAAGATTTCTTGTAGTTTATGCATTCTCAAGTAGTCAAGAGCTCTTTTTGTCTCCGTTTCTCCATTTTTCTTCTTTGTAAATAGCTCCTGCTAAACTTTTTTCCAGGCTTTCACTTGCTTTAATCCGAAATAATCTCACAAACATTTTCAAAACCGCGAGCCATGTTGGAAAAAAAACAAAGAAAACAAGTTTCCCCTGACGTCATCCATGTATCCATAGATTCCATGTTGCCGCAGGCCTGATGTTGCCGTGCGTCTGTTCAGTAATAGATCACAGATGACGTCAAAATGTCGTAAAAACGAAGAAGTGGCACACGAGCTGCAGGCGAGTGTGTCACTGATGTTTTTACCACGTCTTCTCTTGCTCAAAGCAGAATAATGGCGAAAATATTTTGCAAAACACAAAGTCCCTCGTAGCGAGGACACTCGATGGAAACTGTTGTGAAGATTTCTTGTAGCTTAGGCATTCTTAAGTTGTAAAGAGCTTTTTTCTCTCCGTTTCTCCATTTTTCTTATTAGTAAATAGTTCGTGCTAAGAACTTTCAGTTACTTTAATCCGAAATAATCTCACAACCGCGCCCCATGTTGAACAAAACAAAGAAAACAAGTTTCCCGTGACGTCACCATGTATCTGTACTCCAATAGATCATAAGCAACGACCAATCACAGCGCGCGTAGCATTCACATCATAGTATAAACATATATATTATATTAACTTTATGACATCAAAACGTAGAGATCATGAAAATTTTTTCTAAATAAAAAAAAGTCTTTCTCGTGACGGAATTTTGTAATGCGGCAATATTGAATACCATAAAATTCCGAAAATAAGCACCTCCATGTATAAGCCCCCCAACCCGGTAACGCAAAAAACTCTCCGTTAAATCGCCCCTCCAAATTTAAGCCCTCCGGGGGCTTGTACGTGGAAAATTGTCCTCACATACAAAGTAAAAGAAAGCAAAAACGGTATATTTACTTCCAACTGTAACGCTAGCCCACAGCCTCGTTCCCAGGGCGCTTCTCCCTGGCTTTGGTGCAACCTCGTCCCCAGGGCTTTTCCCTCACCCATTTTTTGAGGGAAAAGCCCTGGGGACGAGGTTGGCTTTGGTGGTGGGGCCCACTTCCAAAGCCAGGGAAAAGCGTCCTGGGGACGAGGTTGGCTAGCCCAATCGATTTTGAAACGCCAATTTCGGACCTCCGTAGATAAGCCCCTCCGAATATAAGCCTCTCCAAAAATAAGCCTCTCAAAAAGGGCCTTTGAAAAATATAACCCCCGGGGCTTATTTTCGGAATTTTACGGTATTTGAATTAAGCTGTCACACTGTTAAGTTTTAAAGACCCACATTGTAATACATTACCATTGCTACCCATCATTAGCTATCTTCCTAATTCTTAACATTTGCCGAATGTCGTTTTTCGAAATAATAGTAATAAGTCAGGTATGTTGTCGCTTTTCAAAGCACGCTACAACCTCAATACCAGTACGCCTAGTCCTTCAAATAGATTTTCGTTAACATCTTGAAAAACAGCAAACAACAGAGGAAAGATGATTTTTGTGTATGGTATGACAATGAAAACTGTAATGCATGAAAATGGAAACAAGCCGACATGTCACAGTTAGTTTCAAGTCTTGACGGACAAACAGCGATGGAAAATGACAGCTTCTTAATACAAAGTAAGTGCGATGATTATCAAAAATTGCGTTTGCATAGTTTATTACAATGTGCGATGGACTGTTTTTTGCAAATTGCGACAGCTTTTTTATCACAAAGAGCGGTACGGTTTATTGGCAACTCCAGGAAATACCATAACATACCATAATGCTCTTCGTTTGTCACCCCAAAATTTTGTATAAGCATCGGTTTTCAGTTTCTCTTGGGAGTTAAAATGGCCACAGGAGAAACTGAAAACAATGCTTATGCAAACGTTTGGGGTGACAAACAAAGAGTATTATGGTACGTCATGGTATTTTCTGGAGTGGTCAATTACAAATTGCGAAAGGCAAAGTGGAATCGTCGGTAATAATGTAAAACATGTCGCAGGGGAGGTAGGCAACAATATGTGGAAAGGAGAGGATGATCTGTAAGGGTGCGTTTCTTAAATCCAAATCCGGATTTTAATCCGAAAACGGATATTTCGTTTCTTTACTAAAATCCAAAAACGGATTATTGATGAGAATGATCCACAACGGAGGTGGATTCTTCCAGGATTATATTCAAAACCGGATACTTTTGATACATAATCCGAAGCGTTTCTTTACTACAGATCCGAAAAGAGTGAATACAGCCAGCGGTAACTCGAAACAATTTTAATACATACAGCAGCTGTTTGACAACACTGCTCATCTTTACGCCTTTTTTGAACTCGAGACATGGATTAAACGATCGATTTTATCCATTTTATCGGGATAGTAAAATCGCAATACAAACAGGACCTGCATTGTTCTAGTTAACAAGGACAAACCGAGACAAAACTGCTACACAACTTCGCCGGCGCGTCTTGCAACATTTTACTTACCAGATCGATAAATATCTTATTTCAAGACTCATCTTCGAGCAGTATCGATCCTTGAGCTAACCGTTCAGAATACAATGAAAGATTTGTCAAATTTTAAGGGTAAACATTATCTTTGTGCAGCCGTCAGTGAAGAACCAATTACTTTCAGGTTTGCTTTTCCAGGAGGACTCACAAAACACCATCGATGGCAAAGGAGCTGTTTGCTGATTGAAAAACTGAGAGGACTTGAAGAAAACAAAGAGAAGGGTCATTTTTATGAAAGAAATGAATGAAAAAATAAATCCTGATTCGGTTTTTTTTTGGAATAATCAAGGTCTCTAAGGGTTGTCATCCTTTTCTTTTCATTAACGAAAATCCAAAATTATCCGGATTTTTTGATCCGATCATTCTTTCTCCAGGAACCGTCGTTTAGTATGAAAAATGAAAAAAAACGCACCGTTCTTTTCTGAGCGGAAAAATTTCGTTTTTTAATCGGATAGTTTAGTAAAGAAACTAATGATCTATCTAACTAGTAAACCATTACCGAGTGGAAGGAATCGCCAGGTGAATTTGACTTTAAAATGTTGAGTGTTTTCAACTTTCAAATTAGATGTCATGTGGTTCTAAAAGGAGTCTAACTATCACAGAAGCATCGAATAGCACATATTTATTACAGATTAATCAGACTCCTTGGTTACATGTTTTTATGGTCTTAAAGGTGCGCAACGCTTAATAGCATTCCTCCCATTTTGATCTTACTGACCGACAAAACCGTCGCATTAAGTTTCCGTCACAATTAACAAAGGATTGTGCTCCATCAATATAACATATAACCGTAAAAACCAATACGGGGGATCTACAGATGCGCAGGGAAAAGGCCTTTTTGCAATACTTGATCACGTGATCAACTTTCTATAAACACGAAAACAGTTCGCTTTTGGAACATTTTGTCAGCAGGAACTGAAAGAGCATATTAAAATTAGGTAACCTGTAAATTCTCAGCAGTACATCTGAAAAGTAGCGATTGCAACGGCCGCCGAAAATTAGAAGAATTTGTATAAGAAAAGCAACTCTTGCCACCAAGTCACAGTCGAGTGTATTTCCACACAAATCCTTGTAAATTCTGACATTTTTTTAACTGTCGTAAAATATTCCTCACGCATTACGGGGCTTAATTTTTTTTTTAAATGCGTAAGGTAAAGATTTTACGACAACTTTAAAAAAATTAAACTTTGAAGGCTTAGAAAGAGAATACTCATAATATCGTATTTTTCTACGCAGCGAATTATCCCTCTGGCTAGGTTTTTGATATTCTACAATAACAACAGTTTGTGGTTAATTATTATGTTGTTTCCTCTGTATAATTGGTGAGGTTCACTTTAATATGGTAGCACACAAATTTTGCTTCTTGCTGAAAAGAGAACGACGTGAAACATCGAATAAGGTGGGTGATAAGAAGTGGCAAAGTAGGAAATAAACAAATTATATTTTTGTCGATGCACTGGGTATTTTACGCCATTCCCTTCAAATCAATGGAAAATAATCACCTGAAATATATATTCCAATACTTTATTTCTCTCCATTTTGTAAAAGGCATAAAATATACTAATTCGTTAAGTTACCAAAAACATTCACTCATTTAGCTAAACGAAGAATAGCTCCAAACTGACAGAAATTTTTTTGACGACAAAAGAAGAAGAAGAAAAAAACAATCTATCTCATTTAACCATTTTTAATATCTTGAAAGGCTTGAGGTGTGAGATCACCAAAGGAAAGAATACTCGAATTAGTGTTTCATATCACTATGCAATTTACTTCCCAATCTTTCCTGACTAGTGCCGGGAAAACAATAAATCAACACCCAGATTAACTATTAAATACATGTGTTAATTTTTTGGTGATCGGTCAGCATTTGTGACGATTGCTCTACAATGTTTAAGGCGGTAAACTTTTACATTAAGCAGACCATTGCCTCATTAATGTTTTTAATTTTAAATGCTAAAAGAGGCTATTTGCGGTGAATTAAAAAAGTTGGTGGATCAAACACGTGTCCGCTTCTTTCTTGCCTTCGAGTACTTGTGATCAGCGGAGTGATTTTCGAGATTTTTAAACAACGAAAACCAGTTACGCGTGACTTTTGGACAAGTTAGCAAGGTAAAATGAGCCGAAATTTTAACTCAGGCAGAGAAAATTCATTGACACCGATAATTTGTCGTTTCCTTTTTTCCGGGCAAAAATTTCCTCAGCAGTCCCAGGGAAGCAGACAAACTTTAGCACGTTGCCGAACCTAAGTTCAAGGTTAGTTCACGTTTTCAGAGTCAGTTTATACGATAGATTTAATTTCTTTTTTTTTTCACACTAAATGGCAAATAATTGTCGGCTAGTTGAACTTAAATAACTATTTTGCCATGCTTTCTGGTCGACTTCACATCGCCTCTAACTAGTCCAACCAACGATGGAAACAGGGTCTAAAACAGTTTGTTCGAGTGATACAATACATCTCAGGGAGAATAGAAGGGTACACTGGGCCTTGAACCTGGAAGAAGTTTTATATTTCACTCCAGAAACCGAAAGCAAGAATGTCCAGTCACTGATGAAGAAACTGAAGATAAAAACCCGTATTTTAAAGAATATCTCTTCTGCGTTTTGCGACCGCGACATTGTACGTAAGCTACATGGACGAATTACCCGCATTGTGGAAAGAATTTCAACCGGACACTGCGACTATGAGATGAATGCCGAAGACGCCACTACCTTTGACAAGTACTGGAATGATCTTTTCGAATTTTACGGGCCATGTAAAACTGATTTTGAGAAGGCAATTTCTGGAAAAATTTTCATGCTGAGCATCCAGGAATAGTTACGATACGTCTGCTTTAATTTGCCCTTACTATTTCAGTTTTGTCAGTGAAATCTATAATACAGTGTTAACATTTTACTTAAGAATAAACATTATTTATCTCCAAATGTTGAAACGCTTAATACAAGAAAATAAATAAAACTGTTATTTGCACATTATGTACTCAAGACGGCCATCCCGAACGAATTTTAATCTTTCCAACCGAAAATCTGCAAGCTTCACCTCTTTACCGAGACGAAAGGCTTACTTCTATAAGTTAGTTATCAGAGCTGGCCCAAAAAACAAAACAAAACAACAACAACAAAAGCAAAACCGCGAAACCTGCGTAATTTTAAAGCACTACCTAGGGAACACTAACTCACATATAAATAGGTGGTTAAAGCAGGTGTGGTTGACATCAAAGTTGACGTTTTTTTAACTAAACGATGATGAGTTTTTAATTGTCCACCATGGTTATGGGATTGGAGGTTGTTGCTTAGTCCACACATCAATGAAAAGTACATGGATATAAATTGCACAATTTTAGGCCCCGCTCAAACGCCACTCCACACATGTACCGAGCCTAACTGATGAATTAAATACGGCAAAAGAGGAGCGTCGGAATCAATTTGGTACGGAAGTTTTAATTTGTTGCGGCAAAAACGCCAAACTCGAAGGAGTCTGTCGCATTATTCGACATCGGAGCGGCAGGTGATTCATACGGCGCTCCTTAGGGGCCGACCATTTAACTCTTGAGGGTGGGGGTGGGTGATTTCTGGTCATCAAGAATTTTTTTTCTAGCAATATGGTGGGCAAGATATTTTTTTCCCATAAGCTCTCTATTACATTTGTGCTGCATGCAATTTTTTTCTTCCGACAAGCGCTTGCAGGAAATTTTTTTTCAAAATCACTCAACCCCCCTCAAGAGTTAAATGGTTAGCCCCTTACATTAACTTTATATTTTTTCCCACAATCCTCCTCGTTTTTACGTAGTTGCGATGCGCAGAACACGAAGTTGAGAGAAGTGGAGGGTAAAGAAGAATACAAAATATACTTGTTTACGATGCCAGGAATAATTTTGTATGCCTTGTTCTGTCTTAGAGAATGATGAAACTGTCAAGGGCTGGAAAGCGGGCAATTCAGTCGCATATTGTGAGCCATGTTTCCGAGAAGTTACGGAAGAGCACCAAAAGGTCGAATGAAATAATTCAAATGAATCCGGTAAAAAAGAGATCTACAGAGGCAAGACGACCCAGACCTTTCTCTTTCTCCGTACATGAAAACAACTTTTCTGCCAAGAACAATACAAGGAAGCTATGGAACGTCTACGGATGATGAGGAAAAGCAGATTAGAATCAAAAATCTGAAAGAAAATGACGAATATATCTCCAATAAGAGGACCATCGCGGCGATATTAAACAATTTTTTATCAACCAACCTAAGAAATTGATTGAGGAGCCTGATAAAAGAACCATAGTTAAGTCTTCATTCACAATTGGGCGTGGCAGCAACTGTGAATTTTAAATCCTATTTATTACTCAGAAGAGAGTGGCGGAGCCTTTTTTATCAATCCCTGCGCACAAGGCCACTGGCGATGACGGCATCAGTGCTAAATTGTTGAAAATTGTGGCACCGGCTATCGTCCCCTTTCTATCCAAGCAGTTAAACCACTGCTTGCGTACGAAAACGGTTCCGAGCGCCTGAAATATTGCAAGAGTCACATTCATTTTCAAGGGAAATGGTAAGAGGGACGATAAAAGTAATTACAGGCCGATATCAGAGAAGCATGTCTAACGCTTCACTTCACGATTTCCAGTCTGGCTTTAGAAGAAATGTTTCTACTGAAACGGCACGGATACGGCTTATGGATCAGATTCTGTTTGATCTTGACAATGACAAAGTTACTGGTCTCGTCTTTGTAGACTACAAAAAGGCATTTGACCTCATCGACACCACTTGCTGTTATCAAACCTTGAGCTGATAGGCACTGAAAAGGATTTTTTGCCGTTATTTACTGATTACATGAGAGGTTCGTAAGCGATATGTAAACGTTGATGGATCTCATTCTAGTACAAGGGACATAACTTTGAGTGTACCTCCTGGGTCCAGTACTGTTTCTTGTATTCGTAAATGACCTCCCCTTAGCAATACAGAGCACCGTAGCAGACATATCCCGGGGGGGGGGGTACTTTAAGAATTTCTGGGTGGGGATGTGCCGCTGGGACCCTGGAACCCTTAACCTATACCAGAGCTAGTTCAGCTGAATTTTGCTACCCTATACTAGAGTAAACTCCCCAAATCCCCCTATCCTAGAGTAGCTGTTTTCCTTGTCTAGATAAAATCTTCAACCAACTGATCAGTTTCCTGAAAAATGATACCCTATTCTAGACCCAAACGCTCTGATTTATATACCCTATCCTAGAGTAAACTGCCTGAAAACCATACCCTTCACAGCGGCACATACCTATTTAGCCCATATATGGCAGTACCCCCGGGAGACATATATGCCGATGATCTTATGATGCGTTATTCCACCGATTACAAATTAGCACCTCAGGCTATCAGTGATGGTCTCCAATCAGGTTGGGATAGATTGCATAAAGGTCAGATAACGACAAAATGATTCTCAATGAAACGAAGACCAAAGCAACGCTCGATACCGGTAAATGGATCGAGAAAAGAATGAATAACCAACAGCTGCAAGTTTAATTAAATGCCACCGAACTTAAACAAGTGAGCTCACAAAAACTCTTAGGTGTCACAATTGATCACAATCTCTCTTTTGATGACCACTGACCATATCGAAGAACTCCGTGAAAAGCTCTGTCAGCGAATTGCCGTGCTCAGTAGGATTAAGAGATTTCTTCCTCTGGAACAGAGGAAAGCGTACTACAACGTCATGATTAAGCAAACAATAATGTATGCGTCCACTGTATGGTCCGCGTGCTCACTGCGAATTTGCAGAGGGTTCTTCGTCTCCAGAAGCGAAGTGCACGCGCTATCCTTGACGCCGACACGCTCGCGAACAGTGTTGAACTATTTGTAAAATTAAATTGGCTTCCACTTCACCTCGAGGTGAAAGTAAACATTTGTATTCAAAATTACAAGCGTGTTAATGGACATAGCCTAAGCTACATGCACATGAATGATCTTCTGGTATAAAATTCGGACATTAATGATCGGAATAGCCGAAATAGCTCCCTGAACTTAGTCTGCCCTGGCTTTAAGCATGAAACCGGAGGGGGCCACACATTTAGTGTGAGGGCAGCATGATTAATTTATGGAATACAATACTGAATTCTTTAAAGAAGATTGAAAGTGTACATAGTTTTAAAAAGGCCTTAATTGACTTTTATGCATCTTCTTGATTTTCTTTGTTGTAATTTTCATTACTTGATAACTTCCTATTTACAAAATTTTAACCGCGTTCGTCAGAACGCATCCTAATCTTGGTGTTCCCTTGGTACAAAGCCACAAATTTTCGAGGTATCAAGGGCGACTGCAAATTAGCCGCCCCTACTGATTTTATCAGGGGCATCTCGGCCGAGAAGAGAACTGGACTCCTTTCGACTCGAGTGAGGAATCTGTTATCAATGATTAGCTCTAGTTGCAATTTACTGTTGTATTTTTCATTGTAATTTCAGATTATATATTACTTTTTGAAGGCAGCGAGATTCTACACTACTAACATCGTTTGCTAGTTTTCGGACTGTAATAAAACTGTTTCGTAATGGATCTAAAAGAAATGAAAAGCAATATACACAACACTAGATACCAGAGTAATTCTAATTTCCTGAATATCTTTGCGGGTGACGTTTAAGCCTTCTCTATGTGGTATCTCTCACCACCTTCTGAATGTTAGATGAGGGTTTACAATTGATACAAGAGGTAATCATTGATTTCCGATCCGCGTTCGTTACTTTACGAAAAATTACGGAAACGAAATCGAGTCGAAAGGAGTCCAGTTTCCCGGCCGAGGTGCCCCTGAAAAATTAATAGTGGAGGCTAATTTGCAGTCGCCCGTGATAGCTCGAAAAATTCTGCCCAAGTGCCACAGGAACACCAGATTAGCATGAGTTCTGACGAACGCAACGATAAAAAATAGAAATCTTGACTGAAGTACTCTTTTGTGTGGCCTACCTTATCATCTAACAGGGTTCCACACGGTCAAAATCCAACTGCAGTCTCTGCCACTTTACTTTATCCATAGCTAACGCCTTGCTGAAGAACTACGTTGCATGGCTGTCTATGGTCTTCCGCTTGGACGAATATGCACTACGTTTTCCACGATCCGAACTTTCCGCATCGTCTCAGTACTCCAGCAGTATCCCGGACCAGTTGGATCATCTAAGATGAGTGTAAAAATAAAACCTGCTCACGTTTAATGAAACAAAAAAATCCCATTTGGCCCTGTTACACTAGACAATCTTCCCTTAGGGAAACTTGCCCTGCAATTTTGCTAAGAAAATGGTTCAAAAATTGTGACGAGACACAATCAGCTCAGAATGACTCACTTGCTGAGTCATCATCTTCCATCAGACGAGAAAAGAAGCCTGTTTTAAGGATTCTATCGGTATTACATTCGAAATCCAACTTTTACTTTACTTCTTATTAATCTTTTTTCACATTTTAATTTACGAATGCGTGATTTTTCGAATTGTGGCAAAAGTAGTTATACATGTATGTATAACTTTGTATGTCATCTCGTTAACGATAATCCAGATGGTCTCTAGAGGGTTCACATCACGTGAATTTGCCAGCCGGTCGCCCTTTGCTATAAAGTTTGCAAATCCTTCTGACACCATGTCCGCATGTGCGCCGCCTTTAATTTTTCTATTCAAGGCTTTCCAACCTTTTTTGGTCATTTATCTTCATACTGTTGTGCTCGAAACTTTGATATTGGAAAGTTGAATTTTTTTTACCTTTCTGTCTTGAAGAATTATTACGCATATACTTACCACTGCTCACAGCTTTTTCGATAACACTTCTCACACATTTAAAAAACAACGGCCATAACTCCTTAGTTTGTCTTCTTAAGTCTTTACTGTTGACCACCTGTTCACTTATATCGTTCAGACTTTTTCAACAGTTTGCCAATTTTTTTGACTTAATGGCCAGAAAACCGTAAAAACAGATGCCTGAGCTCTAGAGCTCTAAAGTACAAACAGTGTAGACCTTCATTTTCGTGAAGTAGTAGAATAAATAAAAGAAAGCAGAAAAAAAAAACGAAAATAGAAAACCTACAAAATGGGCAGGAAAAGTATAGCGGCAAAAAACTCAAGTACGTACACATCTGGGGCAAAACTTCAAAAGTATTATAATTTCTTCAAATCTTAATGTAAACTTGCTTTTAAAGGTTATTTAGATAAATTTCTTACCTCGAATCAGAGTACATTTGCCTAACGAAGCATTAAATGCTTTGCGCAAAATACAATATACAATCGGAACGAACTTTTGAAACACCCTGTATACCTAATCCGACACGGTCCCACTTAACATATCTTTTCTTCATCTGAAAATTAGCTTTCGTTTTCCATTGGTTATAAAACGAAGACTTCGGTGTTTAATGCATCTTTCCCCTTACTGAAAATACATTTAGTTTTAAAAGTTTAACCTAAAAGCTATCACTTGGCGTTGGTCCAAAAGCAAATTCGTAAATAAACATAACAAATGGTGTTAGGTCTTCTTTCGGAGTGAAATAAAGTTGAGCCACGCCCAAATTGGTCTGCTTCAGGGGGTCTGATTCTAATTTTCCGACAAGCATTCCTGTGATTTTTATACGAGAGTGACCCCCCTCCGCCTCCCCCGCCCGGGTGCGTGTTATTCGTGTAGTTCCCAGTGAATATGCGCAATTGACCAAGCTTGCTCGGTCAAGATAGCTGGAGTTGATCAAAGTCCTTTTTATTCGCTTTTAACGCTTTAAGCCCTAATATCAAAATTGAGATTCTCATTTATTGTCCCTATAATTTTTCAATAGAAGTAAGTAGTAGGGAGAATTTGTCGAAAAATCAATTACTGGGACCCTCTTCCCTGATCATGACCTCAATTCTCATGACCACTTTGTTTTCTAAAGAATTGAGAAGGAGAAATTTCATGCTGATCACATGACCTCGAGGCCTACTAGATTTTATTTTATGGCCAAAAAGATAACTTACTCTTACGGGACTAACGCGGGAAATTCCGAGCGGGTAAGATAAGCTCGTCATGCCTGTTCGGGTAGCCAATCAGAAGACAGGATTCGCTTTATCTTGCCCGTTCGAAGATTAGGCCACATTTTTTGTGGTAGGCCTGAATGTTAGATAAGCTGAGAGATTTTTCTTCTAATTCCAGTTTGAAACAGAAAAAAAATTGATGAAGACCACAAAGCTGCAACAGATTTGGCAAAATCTATGTTTGTTGAACAGTTTTGAAGAAGTTTCCGACGGCTGCGTGAAGAAACGCTAGGCTGTAAATTCAACAAATTTGATCAAAGTAGAAATGTCTTGATCTTGAAAAAATTCTTCTCATCAGTACCAAAGGAAATTTAAAGGATTGTAGAATAAGCAACCAAGAACGAGAAGTCCAAAGACTACTGCAAAGCTGATTTAAAACAACGTGTATTGTTTTTTATAACAATATTTCGGCTGGCCATACCAGCCTTCTTCAGGTTTACAGATGTTACTAAACTTATGTAGCAATCACAATATTATATAGATGGAGAATGTCGCAATAAAAGGGAGAGGCGGAAATGACGTTAGATCGTAAAAACTGGAAAGGAAATATACTAAGGATATGGATTACAATGATTCGTCACGGCGGTTTCGGCCATGAGGTTCAAGAGTCATGGCCTTATCTATCATATGCGACTCCCAGCGTCATTTCCGCCTCTCCCTTTTATTGCGACATTCTCCATCTATATAATATTGTGATTGCTACATAAGTTCAGTAACATCTGTAAACCTGAAGAAGGCTGGTATGGCCAGCCGAAATATTGTTATAAAAAACAATACACGTTGTTTTAAATCAACAGTAGTTGCAGTAGTCTTTGGACTTCTCGTTCTTGGTTCTTTATATTTTGGTTGATTAGATCTCTTTTCTAGAGATCCAACGTTTACAACTAGCAGGATCTTCGTCCACGGTTTTTGCAGTTAATTTAATCCTAAAATAAGCAAGCTGATACTGAAGGGTTTAAGGTTTAAAAAATAAAATATTCGCCGCCTGAGAAACAAAATAGCACCAATATTTATTCGTGTACTCCTGCGCGACTTCTCGCCTGAAGTACAGTCAAACCTCCCGTCACCGACCACCCAAAAGGTTCAGTGGTCACTTAGAGAATCGACCCACAGGCGGTCCCATTCTAGAAGAGGTCCAAACAATTTAAATTTTGGAAGATAATTTATTGCATGCAATCTCTGAGTTAAGATATGCGTAGTTTTATGTTGTCACGAAAAGAACATCGTTTTCTCTTAGTAGTGTAGTACATGCAACGAACACTGAGATCATGCTTTAAGTGGTCGCTTACACGAGGATAAAAACAGTGGAAAATCGTCACCCAAAAAAGTGGTCGCGGTCGCTTATGAGAGGAGGTCGCACAATAATGAAGGTTCGACTGCATTAATAACTGAGTAGAAAAGGAACAACTAGTCTCTCTGGCGATGACAAAAGATATCTTTATTCAAGATCGTATTTCAATAAAATAAATGTCATCACAAATTATTAACAAATTCTGCTCTGAATTAACTGCAATTTAAAGGTTCCCTTGACATTGACTTGAAAAGGTTTAAACTTCAACTGATTAACAAGGTTACATTTTCAATCATTACTAAACACTCTGTTTCTTTTTGTTTTCTTCAAACAGCAAATTACCACAAACACTTAAAGAATGACACACACAGCTGCTATACATGTATGAAAAACAAATTCAAGGTAAATGCGCGATATAGTAAACCTCACCGGTCGTAAAATAGTTTGTTATTTACATTCAATATATTATCATTTTAGTCTCGTTGGTCCGACAAAAAAGTATAGGTTTTGTTCGTTACAAATACAACGGTGCTTACTCAAAACGTTAAAAATATTTAAGTACGAAAAGGCAAGGACTTTTTTAAGCGCAACGAAAAGACTCGTTTAAGGCGATAAGCACATTTAGAGACCTGCGCAGAAATTTACTTAAAATTTACGAGAAACGGCAGCGTATAATTTATAAAACTTCACGAACCTTGCCATGTTTTTTTCAGTTACATAAACATCAAACCCGTCTAACCTGACCTGACATGTTTATATTGATTAATTATTCATTCAATAAAACCAGGGTAAAGTCCAGCATTTACAGATGTTTTTAAAAGCTTTCCTCTCTACAAATTAATTCGACGTCATTTCCTTTACCCTTTCGTTTGTATTCAGTTCCTCTACTTAATTCTTTTTTTGCCAAGTGTTTCCTTGCAATTCTTGCGGGTATTTTCTTCCTCAGTAAAGCTGTCCACCCACGCCTTTAATGGCGACAACAGTTGTAAACGTGACTACGTTTGCTCCTGTTTTACGCCAGAAATCGTTTAACACTGATCAGAGGGTCGGTCCACGTGTTCGCCGATCCACGCATCACACCCACTCCTCCTCTTGTTGCTCAAGAAGGTCTCTCATTCGTTTCTGATAGTGTCTTAGAAGTTCTTTCCAGCGATTATTGCTCTCTTGATCAAAAATTTCCAAGTTTTCGCTTCGGCTCTTGAACCGATCAAGCTGCTGCGTTAAAATATTCACGCCGGTGCGGATTAAAGACGAATTGGCGTCGTTGATGCCTCTTGCGAGTGACTGAGTCGCTTTGAGCGGTAGTCTCTTGGATTTGTAAAGCGTTTTCAAGCTTTTAGAACGCATTAGTTTTACTCGACGATCAAAAAGTCCATCGGTGCTTAAGGTGGAACAATCGGGAGGGAAATAGATCACTTCTTCTAGCTCATTTGACCAATGAACCTGTTTTCGGCGTGTTAACGATATACTTCCTTTTCTTTCGACATGAGAAAGTCGCGAGGACCGTCCTGGAAGCGAAAGAGATCTTCTTGCCATATATACTAACAACTAAAGGCGATCTTTGGCTCTTTTAACTTGTATTTTCGGTGTCTTGATCAGGGTGGTTTCGTCGCTGTGGAATCACGAAGGCTAATCACGAAAGCTCTTTTATAGCATGTCGAAGCTAATTTATTCGCGTTTGTCTTATCATCAATTTAACTGCCCACGGTCGCTAAAAATAGACGTTTTTACTTCCTCTTCACGAAACCCTAACATCAAAATTCAAATTCTCATTTGTTGTCCCTATACGTTTCCTATAAAAGCGGTGGGGAGAATTTGTTGAAGTATCAATTACATTTATCTTGTGTGTTCCATGTGTCCTTTAATCGCGACATCACCAATGTCATGCAAAATTATGAAATGCTATCTTCATTACGAGACTTGGAAGCCCAACAATAAAAGACGTTTTGTACCCTTTCGCTTAAGTTATGTGTGTGGGGAAAGATGGCCTTTCGATTCGAGCCCCTGAGAACTCGTTGTCGAGGTGCCAACGCTTTGTTGAATGTCGCAACTGAATAAATAATAGACTTTGCCAACCAAAATTAACTGTTAATTTACAATACTGATATGTTCAGCGTTGATAGTTTACTATGTTTACGATGTTATCGGTGCAAAATATCATTTGAGAATTATGGTGGTTGTTCCATTATGAAATATTTATGGTGGAAAGTCATGATTTGTCGCGTACTGGAAACAAATCTTCGCGGTTAGGCGGTCGCGAACATTCCAGAGAGATGACACTCACTTCTGGCAAAGAGTGGACAAAAATGTACAAAAAAGGAGTAAGGTTAGTCATAAGGCAATTTGAGAATGAAATGAAAACCGCAGCGGTAAATTATTGGGAAAGCAAGTCTAGAAAGAAGACTAATTTGCATAAAGATCGATGTCTGAAAACCCAGTGACTCCTCTCGACGGGCGAAACCAAGGTTAAAGTCAGTTCACTGTAGGCGTCTGGTAACTGAAGGATATTTAGTTGCACAGCAAGGGCTCAATATGCAAGTGAACTCGGCGAAAGCGCTGGATCATAACATTATCATTTTGTGGGATGAAATCTTTGAGATTAATTGAATTTGATTTGATAAAACACAACACCCAAGCACGTTTGCAATTGTGAGATCGTTAAGAAATCAGTAATCTAGAATTCTCCGTTTGATAACGGTCAAGGTTTAATCAGGGAAAGATTGTGACGATCTCAGTTATGTTTTAATGGAATGAAGCAAGGGCAAAAGGCGTACAATAAAGTAAAGCGCTGCAGTAGCTTGAGACAAATTTCATAACACACCCATTTACGCCACAGGGCTTCAGTACAGTCCATCCTTTATTGATAGAGCATACTTCCGTACTCAATCTCCATTGTCAGTTTTAAGAATTATCACATCATTAGCACCAAGACTAAACATATTATAGCATCCCTGACAATGCGTACAAAACAGAAAGAATCCATTGAAAGTCACGAGTTTGCGATTTCACTCGATAAGGTTCAAAACTTGTCCAAACTAGATAGGCTTTTGCTTGTGATAAGAGCTTAACTCGGAATTCACTTTCTCCTTGTTCTATAAGTACTTTTTCAGCTTCAAACATGTTTGAAAGAGTTAATGGTTTCAAAGTTACTCGTAGCGGTAAATTGTGAAATAACCAAAACAGGCTAAGTCGTGAGGCGTATCATCTAATCATAATTTTGTCATTTTTCATCAAGATTTAACCTGTTATTAATTCATAAGTCAGTACATGCGAAGAAACAAAATTTACATTTCAACTGAAATAAAACTGAATTTTACAACTTAACTGAATTCAAAAATAATATATTTCACATTCTTGACTAAAACTTTCGAGTCACTGTTTTCTTTTTTTTTTTTCAAAAGAAAATCTGCATTTGCTCAGGAATATATGTCTGAAAATTCCATGACTACTACGCTCTTAGAAGGAAATAACTGAACTGATTCTAAGTCAGATCATTGTTAAGTGCATCTTATCATCAAAAATTTTAAAAGGTTGAGGGAGCAGATATAGAGTTGCGTTCCTGATTCGATTTTTAAAAGAATATTTAGATTCCGGAAGATGCCTCTAGTAGAAATGAAAGGCGTGAACCTTATTAATGCACAGCAAGATATCTTTATTGATTGAAGTCTCTTTTTTTTCAGTTTTCTGGAGAAATCTTTCTGTGTAAACTGCGTTATTATTGCGAGGTTGAACTGGGATGATGCACGAAAATGTCCTTCGAACAACAACATTCGCTGGAAGACATAAATTCTTCATCAAATGTGTCAGCAAACCGTAAACACTAAACAATGAACTAACCATGAATCTGATGACGGTTTTACAGTTTTAGCTCGCAAATTTCCCCGCTTTCTTGGCCAAAGACATAGGCATTAGAACACCAGCTCACACAGAAAATTTTCATTAAGACGATCAATTTGTATTTGTCCACTTCGAACAAGACTCAAAAGGGAACGTGCAGTTTTTCGCAAAAGGCCCCTTCGCTAATAAGACCTCGTTAATTGACTTTGCTACAAGGTCCAGTTATACTAAAAGAAGCTTCTGTTCATAGGATATGCGTGTTTTCAAAACACCAAGGGCAAAGTTATGTGGAAAAGATCTTTTTCCGGAAAAAGATCTGAAAACGATCGTTTTGTGTACTTTTTTTATTTATATGAAGGTACCCGTAAGTAAACCTCATAACAAACAAAGATTTTTTCTGAAAACATAGCTTTTCGTTAAAGAAAAAGATACAACAAACTGTACTCGAACAGTTTCACTATACTCTCAGCCTGGCAAGGAGTCATTCAGCGAGGGCAGAGCCTCCAGTTGGGGCGGAGACAGCTTTTCAAAGGCTAATACAACCAAGAGCACAGTGATTTTGCTTTTATAGCCCCCGTTGAAGGTTTGTGTTGCAAACCGAAACATCAGGCACATATAATTCATCGTGTTATTTTCTTCATTTATTTTTCCTATCACTCTTCCTGTCGTAAGAATCAGTTTACTGTTCCAATTTTCAAATTTGGTATTTAAGATTTTACTGCTCCAGGTCCACTAAAGATCCGTCTGACCCTCACTGGGTTGCCGTTGTGGTTTTGCCTTCACAAGTGTCTCTTAGTGAAAAAGGTACATTTTGCCAAAAGTAAACCAGACGGTACTAATAAAAACTGACGAACTTCGATAAAAAGAAAAAATGCTTCCAGAACAACAGGGTAGAAACAAACACCGGCTGTCGAGGTCTCTTCATCTACTTCAACACTTATATGGGATTTGAACTCGATGGAGTGATAACAGAACTCTTTCATAATGGCAGCTAATCAATATAATATTATTCTTTCGTATGTATGACAATTAGCCTTTCTGACCTCGTTAGCATGTGCAAAATTCTAAAGAATTTTTCCTTTCAAACGAGATCAGAAGGTTAATCATCATACATGTAAAAGAATACATTAATAGGCCCATTGTAAAAGAGGTCTACTTGGTCCGATGAGAATGCTCAGCCCTGCAGTCTCCCATTGGCTAGTATCAGTTGTTTACGTCCTCCAAAAGGCTTGAACGTAAGCATTTTCACGTCGTAGTCGTGCAGTGACGGCACGAAAATATACCGAAAACAGCGTGATGCAGGTGCAAAGGAGTTGTTTTGCTTATAGATCGTTTTCACATGACGTCACGGCAGCCATATTTGTGTACAAAACAATGAATCTGAATTTCAGCCGTCACGTGTTTACTTCTCGACAATTTCAATTTTAAGTTCTCTGCTCCTCTTCTAGACCTCTATGAAGGTTACAGGCATTGTTTCATTTTAAAATATTCCAATCATACCAAGACACATTTTATTAATATATAAAGGATCATGAGTTCGGTAGTCGCCATCTTTGATTTGTTCGTGTTGGAGGTGAAACTATTCAAGCATCCTCTTCTGTTCGTAATCTTGGAGTGATACTCGATCCCAGCGCTGATATGGAAGACCACATTAAAAAGATTTGCAAGACATGTCATTTCCATTTAACTAATATTACTAAGATAAGAACATATTTGGATTGTGAATCTACTGAAGCAATTCATTCTTTTGTGACTACCAACTTGGATTACTGTAATGCGATTCTATATGGACTACCTAAAGCTCTCTTAAACTGCCTACAGCTAGTTCAGAATAGAGCAGCGCGCAACGTAACATTCACCGAGAAGTATGAACATATAACACCCAGCTTAATAGACTTACATTGGTTGCCTGTTGAATACCGTATTATGCACCTATCAATCTAAATCCCCTGAGGGGGGGAGTGCGGGCAAGGGGTGGGGATTTGACAAATTTTACAATTTTTTGATCAAATTCCCCAGGGTGGGAAATGAAAGGTCAGTCAAAAGTGTCAAAAAATCCCCCACCCCAGGGGAAAAATCTGAACAAACAATACTATAATACTATATAAAACGAATGAAAGAACATTTCAAAAGTACGTGTTTACTACTTTTATTTAAGGTTAACGTAAGCTCCGTTAAATTACTCGCTGTAATGAAGTATTTTCTCTCTCCACTAGTATCTCGTATTTTGAACAACATAATCACTCCAGGAAGATTGACCGTGCTATTATATTAATGAAACGTAAAATGCTTTATAACATCGGCTCAACATGTCGGAACAGGTCGGATCAGTGACCTGTAAAAAATCCTTTGATTTTCATGGTAGAATTCGATTTCAATCGAGGTTTACAATCAGATGGGAACTTGAAGATAAAAACTTTCTCAAAATAGACATTATCTGTTTAGATGACAGTGTACATGTAAAGTATCGGATTATGGCGATTAAAACAAATGAAAGCTTCATGACTTTCTCCAACAGCGTGACTTTCAGAAAGCCTCGAGGGACGGACTTGCTTACCGCTTCTGAATTGATACCAGGCTTCTATCGGTCAAAGTCAAATGTCCCGACCCCGAGGTCGCTTCGCACGATCAAACGCCCGACAGGGGGATAGTCTCAGGCATCAAATCCCCGCCCCTTGTCCGCACTCTCCCGCCACGGGATTTACATTGATAGGTGCATTATTTACAAAATCTTATTGTTAGTATATAAGGCTATCAATGGACTCACAAAGTTATATATCCAGTTTACCCAGTTTTTGTGGCAGCTCCTACTCTTTGCGTTCTTACTCGAATAAGTTACTTCAAGTCCCGAGATCTAAACTTAAGTCTTACGGTGATCGAAGATTTTCTATTGCAGGACCTAAATTATGGAACAGCATACCCGCATCTTTAAGGAATACCGATTCCTTGAATTCTTTCAAAAAACACTTAAAGACATTTATTTCACCAAGCTTTTTCTTAATTTATAAATAGATTCTTATTCATTTTTCATACTTATATATGTAGTTGTTAGATTTTTAGAGTTTTAATACATTTTTTGTAAAGCACCTAGAACAGTTAATGATATAGACGCTATATAAATAAAGTTTATTATTATTATTAAAAGCAGAGGAAGATTGGCGAGAGTAAACAGTCCGATCAGTAGGGTGGTGGAAGGCCGTGTGTGTGTGTGGGGGGGAGGGGGTGGGGGGGTAGGGGGGGTAGGGGGGGCGGAGATCACGACTCCCTTCCCTCGCTGCTGTGACTCGTGCTTAAAGTCCACTACCGCTCGAGAATTGCCAGAAAACAGCTGCCCTGCATGACAAGAACCAATCTTTAACCATATATTGAAATGTGATCATCTGAGCAATGTCAAGCCGCTAAGTGGAAAACGGCCTAGAAAACATAATTGTCACTAAAAAGCGTCGGAAGTGCGAAATACGGCCTAAACTCACCGCACAAAAGAGCACACTGTCAAAGTGGTATTAATAAAAAACAAACAAGAGCAAATTCACAAATCATAAAGAAGCTGCTTATGAAGAGAATATAAGAAGCATTGCATGAATAGGCATAACCCAGCCTGACTGTCTCAAAATGGTATCTATAGTATTGCAATGAAAATGAAATGAAATGCACGTATTATTTCACTATGACCTATATGATGATTTGAAAAAGACTCTTTTTATTAAAATCCACGAAAGAAATACATTATTTACAAATTACAATAACCATGATAAATTCTGTTTTTTTTTTTCAACAATACTGATTCACATATCAGCAGGCTACTGTTAATTTCGTTTTTCAAGCATTTGAAATTGAAAGACGAAAGAAACGTAATAAATAACACGATTAATTATACCATTCATCAATTATATTTTTATTTCCTTAACTCTATCTGAAGGTGATTTGAACTGCGGAAATACAAATTTCAAATGAAGATAAGATCGTCGCAGTGGTAATTCCAATTTAAGCGATTGCAAATTAAACCGAAACAAATTTCCGGACTTCTACGGGATTCGAAACCATGGCCTCCGCGTTAGCGCTGCAGTGCTCTAACCAACTGAGCTATGAAGACCCATCTGTTTATTATAGTATTTCAATCGGTAACACCATGTATAGAAGTGATAATACTAAATAACCTTGTTGCTGTTGTATTGTGTTCGATTTACTCTTCCACGACCGAGAACATTTACTGTATGCTCACTACGTTGAATGAAAATACTCTGAATACTTACGTAATGGTTATCCTTATTTAATTTGGTTCGTCTTGAATAAATTACAATTGAGCTCTTATCTGCACCACGACTTTTCAAAGTGGAGCTTTCTTTACTGCTGATCGAGGAGACGAGAAAAACGAATCAGTTTCCTGCGGAAGTTTACATAATAACCCACGTGTCAGTCCATCTCGCAAATGTTGAACATCTATAACAATTTTTTTTTTATGTTGTAGTCATCTTACTGACAGGGTATATGAAGGAAAGGCAAAAAATGGAAGACCTAGATAACAATAACCTCAACCAGGCTGGCGTCCAGCGGTTTTTGTGAAAACAAGGGTTTGGGTGGGGGCTGCTCAGTCTCGCGGGCTCGTAAAACCTGGTCTCGGGAAATGTTATTAAAGGTAATGTTACACGGGGCGATTCGCAACGACGATTTTTAGCGCAACACAGCGTTGCAATGTTGGAACAATGTTGTAACCATTCGAAACAATGTCGCAACGCTGTGTTGCGCTAAAAATCGTCGTTGCGAATCGTTTCCTGTAACATCACCTTTAAGGATTTTCGTAATAAATACCAAAGACGCTTAAACAGTTTCTGATTCTCAACTTCTTAGACTTCCGCAACACCACAGATTCAGGTTTACATAGTTTAGACGCGTCTGTAAGTGACTTCCTGCATCATGACATACTGCACGAACGCAAACTCACTTTTAATTATCTGATCAATTTTGTGTGGTTCTTGCTAAAAACAAAATTATGATGTCATTGTCTTAATTTAAACACTGATGTACACAGCATTACAGATCGAAACGTTTGGTGGATCAATTAAGGTTTCAGGGAAACTGCCCACCCACCCCTCCCCTGAGCTAACATTAACACTTACTTCTCACTTAGGGCAAAATGATGGCTTAGGGGAGGGGTAGGTGGGTAGTTTCCCAGAACCCTAAATTGATCCCGTTTCAGTGGTTGGTGTTTTAAGGCTGCGTTGTTTGAGAAGAATTGCGCACCAGCCTTTGCTATTGTTCAGGAGCCATTTTGTGCTTTAACCGGAGTCTACTTCCATAATGCTAGTGAAGTTTACACGAAAACATGGAAGAAATCATGTGCTATAGCCTGGCGGCCGGCCCACTACAGAAGGTTTAAAGCGTCTGCGACGCAGGTAACATGTGCTATAGTCTGCTACACAGCCGTTTTCAGTGTCGTCACGCAATGCTCCCCCACACAAAGTGGGAGGAGCATTGCGTGACGACACTAAAAACGGCTGTGTAGCAGACTACATGTGCTACTGCACCTTTCGTATTTTCAGTTCAGACGCCACGAACAAAAAAAGCTCACAACAAAAACTTTGAAAAAAAGAGATCAACAAAGTAACAGTTTTGCAAAACAGAGAAACGCATAAGTAATATGGTTCCACATTAAGTCAAAAAAGGAAAACTAATAAAAGGACATCAGTATTAGTATTTTTGTGATTAGTTCGCTAATTTCATTTCTCAAGGATTGGTTTTCCTGACTTTGCTGTTTAGTCTTCTCTCCGGTCATTGCGTTACTAGGAGTGGAGAAAATCTTAAATATTCAATAGTTCGCGGAGCTCTTTATGAACGTGACCGCTCAGCTCAAGCTCACACGCATGAAATGATTCAGTGGGCAAATGCCATGCTCTTACAAAACTTTAAATTTGGATACGTTTTACCGCAATCTTGACTGGAATATCCATCCCTTCAAGACAAGAGACAGGATACAGGTACATTCCTCACAAGTGAGACCCGAGATTAATCGCTTTTTTTTCCAGCAATTACCTCAGCATATATTAAAACATTAAATATGCAGCCTAAGACATAATCAGATATAGTATAGTATTTATACATCTTTTTCGGAATAACTAAAGAATTTATTTTGCTATCGCATGTTCTTGTATTATAGTACTGGTAAGGCCGACAAAGGGCAAGAAATACCGCAGCATCGCAGAAAGGTTTTGAAATTGACGAGATTTTAAATGTTCGATCTTTAAATGAATCCGCCACCACAATTCACTTGTCGACACGTAAATATATAAAACGAAGCACTAATCGTTTCGAGCAATAGTACAAGTTTAAAGAAAAGCGACTCATAAATATAGCGCCGGAAATGTCGGTCGATTAACTGAGTGGGACACAAATGTTCTCAGCACCAACCAGTGAGTTAGGACCACTTCTTATAAATAGTAATAATAAAATATAAAATAAAACAGCCGTACATAAAGATAAATCCTTTCTTTCTTTAGTTTCGTCCCGTTTCAAAAAGATAACATTTAGTATATAAGATGATTTTATGCATTGTTGCACCAAGACGGCGGGTTTTTCTTGCTTAGTCGTGCTTTCACGAAACGCTGACGTCTCTCACTGATGTCTTCCGCTTTCACGGAGAGACAGGTGCAAAGGAAGACGTCTTTATGCTTTCAAAAGCCATTTTCACCCACAGTGGCGAAAAAAATAGAAGCTTGACAGTTGTTTGTTTACCTTTAACAGCCTATCACTGGATGTTCTGTCAACAGGAAGTTATTACATAAATTAATAAAACCATTGCGGTGCGTTCTCTCTCATATAAACAAATTCACACGGCCGCTCGTTTAATCAAAAGTTCTTCAGGTTCTATCGCCCTTTACTCTGCATCACTGGAAACTTTTTCTTGGTGCGGATGAAAGAGATGGAAGTCATACACATAGAAACAAGTCATAAAGAGTTGGAAGAAGAAGGATTCAAGTGTCGAAGGGTTCGATGGTCAGTGGCTCTGGAAGAAGTACGCTATTTTGTACCCTTGCCGCAGCACACAGAAAGTCGCTGGAAGAGAAAAATGAAGAATTTGAAAGAAAAAGCTTTAGACCTCAAGCATAAGCCATCAATTTTATTTTGGGACTTGCATGATAGCGACACAGCTCATATAATTCAGAACGGACTGAAATCTTTGGCGAGAAAGATAAACGGTCGATCCGAATGTATAGAATTTGAAGACATTTATGACATTAATAAGCCGTGGGATGAACTCTTTGAATTGTACACCAGTCGTGGGGAACTACCGGAAGAAGTCGAAATTGCAAGCCTACGGGGCGAAAATCTCAGCCTGCCAGCCTAGAGGAAACTCTCCTTATATAACAAAGCGTGCATGAGGAACACGACCTTTAAAATTTCCAAGAGAGAAGTTCCTTCAATTTACGACCACATGCAGCATTTTAAGAAACTAATAACTGAGAAAGACTCACAGTTATGTTGACACTGTATTGTGTTCAGATATAAATTTTACAGAAAGTATTTCAGTTTTGCCTCGTGAGCGCAGCACGTGATGACTGATGCACGAGAAGTGAAAAAAAAATAATAATAATGAGGAAAGTCGTTTTAACTTCCACATAGTCAGTACTAGGTTTTAAAGCCGCAAAATTCCAAATGCCAGAGCAAAATATTGAGTTTGATCCCCGTCTGATACGACCACATGCAGCAATTTTAACGGAACCTATAACTGAGAAAGACTCACAGTTATATTGACAGTTTATTGTGTTCAGAAATGAATTTTACAGAAAGCACTTTTTGCCTCGTGAGCGCAGCACGTGACTGAAAAAAAACTTAAGAAAGTCGTTTTAAATCCCACTGGGTCAGTACTAGTGCAAAATTTCGTACAACAGAGCAAAATATTGCGTTTGATCCCCGTCTGATGCGAGGCACAAACAATTAAGTTCACATATAGTCGCAAGGAACGAGTATGAATGTTTTATTACTTTTTTATATATACAATTTCAATTTTTGCCTAACTGTAGATTATTTTCGTCGTGGCAATATGTAGTTTTAGCAGTGAGGGAAGAGTTTATTGACAAACCTTTATCTCTTTTATCTTATCTATTCGAATCGCCTTCGAAACAGAGACAACATCAAATTAATGTATAGCCCAAGTAACCCTATTGAGAAATAATTCTTAAAAACACTTAAAAACTGAAAAGCAGTTTTAAGGCCGTTTGATTAATTTTTAGTTGCTTTACCAGAAAATGTAAATAAAATGATTTATTTTTTTATCAGGAAAGTTTTTACTGGGTGCCGGCTTTGATACATCAAAAAACCTTTTACCACCACGCCGCTGGTATATTTTATATAAAAATCAACCTTCTAATTTTGTGTATACGAATACATGAATTTATTACAGAGGCTGAAGCAGTGGTACGGGGTAGGAAAGTTACGTAACATTTGCACCTTCACGTGGAACATTTTAATTGACTTTAAAAAGCCAGTTTTTAAATCTTGCATAACAACCGAGCGGAAAAAACCAAACCCTCCATCGGGAACTTTTTAAAAGGGAATGAGCTAGATGCGTAGGTCAAGAGTCCATGATCGTAAGATGACTCAAAAAAAAAAAAAAAAAAGAAATGGGATGATTGAAACTGTAACCGTGCCAGTGTTTACAAAACATTCTTTTCCCGTAAGTTGCGAGTGATTCACACGCCAAGCCCTAATAGGGCTATGCCAAAAACAGGAAATATTGTAGAGAATCATTGTTAAGGTTAAATTAGAGAACTTTCCGCAAGCCTCCATTATGCTCTTCCCTTAATTACGAAAGGTAACGGGGGGGTGGGGGAGGGGGGACATGTAACTATATATTACATGTAAATAATACGTTTTCATATACAGCGTATTTGTTGATCGATAACGCAGAGTTGGGTTGTGTGGTGTGTGTGTACATAAAATTTACCATTACCCTGTTGACCTTTCAAGATACTCAACAGATACGCGTCTAAAAAACCTGACTCTACCCCGCGGCACATCCCCCAGTACTTCCAACAATCTGAAGTTCTAAGTCATTTAAGGGTGTTGACTACCAGAATTTTGATGAGCTGGGAGATGGTGGTGTGAGTGATGGTTGATTCACAGAACAAAAAATTATCCTCTAAATAGACTTGAAACGAAAAAAGCTTGCAGTTGGTTGATAGCGAAGTCGTATAATTTATTTAAACGAAAAAAGGAAGGAAAAATTGATCAGAGTATTACGTTTGAAAAAATATTTTGTCAGAAGCAAATCAACTCCCACTGCAACCCCCCACACGCACCCTACCGAAAAGTGCAAATGGTAGGCTCGAAGATAATTTTTGCTCTAAGCAGTGGATGCTCCATAAAAAATGGAGCCGTAAGACCAGACATGATGTAGTATGAATTTGAAGCTTAACAAAGAGAACCTTTCTATTTGGTAAGAACTGGTTGAGAATTTTTTTTTGACAGGGTTCATTCCTTTTAACGTGAGTCAAGCATGTGACTGTACACGTGCGGGAAAGAAAGGGGCGTTTGCTTACTCCCATAGCGTGGCAAAATATTAAATTTGATCTTGAATTGATTCTGTGTGGTGGAATCGATTAACGGTTGCAGGAAATGTGCCTGAATGTAAATATTATTTAAGTGAATTTGACTGAGAATGAACGTTTATTGTCTGGGGGTGATTGATGTTATTTCAGCAATTCAGTTTTTGCAGGTGCAGAGAATTCAGTCACAAAAGTTAATTGCTTTTTGTATTATTTATTCGAATATTCTTCGGATTCAGCAACATAATATCAAATGATTATACAGTTCAAGAGGCCTCTTTCAAAACACTTACTAAAAGTGTAATGTAGGCACTTGAAAAATAAAAGAGCAATTTTTAGGAAAGTTCAAGGCCATCCACATAATTTCTCAGAACCTGTTTCACAAGACGCAAACAAATAAATGCAATTTTTGGGAAAAACATTGTCATTGCTAGCTATTTTCAGGACTTCTTGCACGTGACGAAATTAAATACTTTTTACCGTCGAGCAGCAGTACAATGTAGTATAAAAGTCAACCTTTTAATTTCCGCGTAATATACTAAACTATTGGTGGCTGAACCAGCATATGAAAGAAGAGTTATATAACAGACAGTTGCACCTGAAATATATTTAGGATGCTTTGTCTGTATTAACTTAACCGTGTGACAATTTTCACTTGCTGTTGTACAAGACTACAAAAGCCTTTGTGCAAAATTTCGCAATTCACCATGTCCACGCTATGCACACTAAAGTATGGGAGCTTTTAAAATGTATAATCTTAAACCGTGAAGAAGAAACGCCTCTTGAGTCATTAACATAAATTATGAACTGTTTTCTTTTCGCTGAAAAAGAGTTACAGTTCTACATAATTATTTAAATTAAACTTAAGAGACCTTATTGTAAAGGGAGGTTTTTGTTGGGCTGCCTGTGGAAAAGCCCGTTTGAAAAATGGAGGCCCTGGTCTGTGCAGCAAAAAAGATAAAATGGCAGATTGATCATGGTAGCTAGGGGTAGGGTACACTCGAGGGGTAATTTGGGTGAGGGGCAGCAGCATAAAATTTTACCTGAAAAACAAAAAACTCTCTTAAATTTCCCTTGAGATCCTAAAAACTGCGTTCAAAAGAAGAGCATGATCATGTATATTTAAAATTGTTTGTTATTTCAGTTGAAGCAAACCATGTATAAATATTTTGCTTTAAAAAACTTGCACATCTAATGCACATGTCATCAGCTTACCCGGGAAAAAACCAGGAAAATAAGTCACGGAATACAAGGGGTTAAATTTAATTAACTGCTCCTGAGGAGGGAAAGATTCACATTGTAATGTATTCAATTCGAAGGCAATGGGTAGCAGAATTCGAAATTTTGTAAAATTGCAGATGGCAACCACAGGGAAGTCACAGGGATTTACTACTTTCCCCAATTTCTGAGCTGTGTTGTTTAAGGAGCTAGGGTAAACCCAGGATTAGCTACTATTTACAACTTATGTGCTCAATTTGCGGCTAACCCAGGATAAGAGTTAACCAAGCTTTGAACATCTTGGCCTACAAATATTAAGTTGGAAAGGGGTGGGGGGAGAGGATGGATATGGGTGTTTTTGCCCCACTGAATTTCTAAAGATGACTCTCTTGAGTAGTGGGAATGAATTAAACACAGAGACAGAGACAGAGTCACAGAGTCAACAGAACAGTGACTACATCTACAAATAAATTGAAATTTCTGTCATTGACTTTGCTCTGCATTTGTGTCAATCATCTCTTTCAAAATGACAAAATGCAGAAAATGTAAATTTTAATGCACGTTGCTTCAGTACATAACAGTCACAATATCTCATGTAAAAATACTTTTCTGGTTCCTGTAACAACAGAAGAATTATTATAATGAATGGCTGATAAAATGATAACCGGTAAAAAAGAACAATCGAGAAGTGTAGTGCTTGATAGATTTATTGGCTGATGAATCAACATTAATAGTAGTTACTGCCTGATAAGGAGAACACTGCTATTTGAAATGACATTTGGGCTAGTAAATGCTAGCTTCAGTGTGCCCAAATGGCAAGCTGTAAAACTGACTTTCTTTGCACCCTGTGTTATATTAAGTAGTTCACAGAAAAAAAATAACTCACCCTGACCTCTGCAAATCTGTCTTCAGTTGATATTTTTCTATAATGAGTGTTTTTTATGAAGATGTTATAGTGCTTCTCCAAACCTAAAATGAATGAGTAAAATTGGATCCCAAACTATCATACACTGCATAGCTGGCAGGAGTGCAGAAGCAAAACTGCTTGTAAAATAATGAAAAGATAACATCTGTGGGGGAATCAAGGTCTTCTCTTCATAGTCTATAAATTAAGCATACTGAAGATGGACCTGGGGGAGAGGCATTCAAGGGACAATTAGGGAATTTGGGGTAGAGATGTGCTGCTGAGGCCTTCAAGGCATTACCCTGGTTAAGACAAAGACCTTATTTTATGACTCTGATTAGTTTTGTTTTGCATACAGAATTAACTGAATTCTCAAAATAACAAAATGAAATCAGATTTGTTTTGGAGAAAAATTGTTCATACCACAAAATCAAGATTTAATCCATTAGGAAATTGAGTACACTCAATTTCCTGATGGAGTAGTTTTAATTTTCAGTGGACAAAAACCTTGTACCAGAATAATTAAATTGTTTTTTTACATTTTTCAAGGGCTATAGATATAATTACAGCTGTAGTAGCTGTAGTTATCTGTATTTTATTTTTTTTAATTTTTATTAGACTCGCCAAAAAAACAAACAAACAAACAAACAAACAAAAAAGAACATTGGCAGGGACACCGCAACAGCTGTGGCCAATTACAGCGAGCCTGGATACTAATAAAAAAATAAAAACAAGAAATATTGAAAAACACAGCGATACAAGAAAAACTACAGCTACGTACAACTTGTGTTTGAACGAGACAAGGGACCAGCACTATTACATTTTAAACAGATAGACTTGAACGAACCTGGGCCTTCACAATCATAGGAAACAGCTAACGCAGACTTATAATAATTAAAAATAACCAATTTAAAGGAAGCTAAGGTCAATGAGCTCAAATATAGTTCATCCACTAAACAATTCCAAATTCTACTAGTTCTAATGAGAAAGGACTTCTGGTACCTAGTAGTTTTACATTTCGTAATTATGCATTTACTAACATTGCTGGTTGAGGTCTAGTGCGTCTACCGTATTTGCAAACTTCAGGTAAGACAGAGGAGTTCATGTTACCAAGACTGTGCATGAATTTGAAAAAAAAACATTAGATCTAAAAGTTCATGCCAGTAACAAATAGGTATTAGGTTTAGAGTTTGTAAACAAGACTTCTAACTTATGTTAGAAGAGTAAGGCAGTTTTAGGATAAACTTAGTCGCGCGTCTTTAGATACACTCAAGCTTGACAAATTATGAGCTCGATGGACTGCAGGGCCCAAATTTGGGTGGCATATCCCAAATGTGGCCTAACTAGGATTAGGTATAGCGTTCGTCTTACTTTGGTTCTAAGTATGAACCTCGTGTTCCTCTTTAAGTATTCAAGTAGTTTAGCACAAAGATTGTTCATTTACTTGTCAGATCCTTACTAATCCATATGCCCAGATATTTTTCTGCAGCATATAATTCAAGTAATAACACCAAAGACTATTTCTCATGGGGGCCCAAGAAAATAAATGTCAGTTTTCACAAGAATTGTGAAAACA